TTACAAATTAAGGGATAGGTAGGTCGCGAGGTCTGGGGAAGGTGTATCGCAGTCGAGCGGTGTTCTCTGGAGCTCTGCTCGGTCCACCTCCACCATCCAGGGTCCCGGACCAGAGAGAGCGCTGGCCCATCCAGATCTCGGGTCCCCCGGCGCCTCCCTTGGCCCCGCCTTGTAGGCGTGACAGTTGCCGAAGTCTCAATGGGGGTTGGAACTTCCAAATCAGAGCTGGAATGGCTACCCACTACACTAGCTGATTGTAATAATGTTAGAATTCGGGAGGGAGTGGGTAAGAAGGGAATGGATGGCAAAGATATGGATATATGGAGTGTGCATTTTGTTTGGTGAGTGAATGAGAGGCTACCAGTTGTACAGCCAGGTCAGGGGAAGTCTGATTTACAGCAAGAGAAGACATAATTTGCAATGCAAGAATGTAAGACCATTTGAAAATGACACATTAAAGATTTAAAAGGAGGTTTACTCTTGAATATGCAAATATGTCTGTAGGATGGGATATTAAACAACAGAAAACATTATAGTACATTCTAGAAGAGAGAAAGCAATTGGGGAATATGTACCTGACTGAACAATAGCAAGGAACTGACTGGACCTTCAGTGTTATAGGTGGGAAGTGTTGGTGAGGAGTGGATCTACCTCACCAGATTCCTGAACCATGCATGGTTAAGAGGAATCAGCCTCTGCAGGAACCATTGGGGGTGTATGTGTAGGTGTACATGCATAGGTTTGTGCATGGGTGTGCAAACACTCCCATGTGTATGTATGTATGTGTGTGTGTGTGTGTGTGTGTGTGTGTGTGTGTGTGTGTGTGTGTGATGGGCATGTGAGTCTAAAGCCACAATTTACCAACTTACCACCTTCTTTACCCAACCACAAGGAGGGAAGGGTCTTATTAGCTAAAGATTTTGAGCTAGAAATCTTTCAGACTGACCTCAACAAGAGAGTAAAGACAAGAATGAGCCAGAACACCAAAAACAGGGCGAAAGCAAAATTCTACAGTGAACACTGAGACTCTTTCATTACCCCCATCACCCTCACACTTGCAAAATGCTTGTAGCCAGGTGAACATCATTCACCAAGTATAAAACAAAAGTATTCTTTTTGGATAAAAGGAAATACCCCTGAATAAATAATCACCATACATTAGCATTGGAAGAGCCCTCGGCAAAAACTCCCAACTTATGCTGGGCAGTGAGTCATGCCCATTGACTCACCGTGCCAACACAGACAATACTTTTCACATTGAAAGCAAAACAGAGTATCAACCATTAATACATGTGATAAGGGAATAACATGGGGCTTGGGATTTCCTTCAATAGTAGTTTTGCTGTAACTACCTTAAAGCTTCCATTTGAAAGTGTATTTGGTGTTGTCTCTTCAATAGTCCCAAAGAGAAATGGCAGGTATCTATGCCTGCTTTTTGTTGTTGTTGTTGTTGTTGTTATGTTTAAGCCAGCAACACTCTTAAAACAATACAGTAATTGTCAAGAGTAATTTAGTAAAATTTTATTTGATACTGGAAAAATTCCAGAAGACACAATATCCCATTACAGGGACTTACTTTGAGGGAATTGATTAAAAAAAGTTGTTTTCTAATTACTTAATTAAAGGGATATAATGATGTAGTTGTGATAATGTCTGTAGCTTCTTTTACTAAACCCTCAACAAAGAAAGTAAAACTAGATTATATGTAAGTGAATTTATCTATTTTTAAGATTTATTTTTTTTTTAATTTTATGTCTCTGAGTGTTGGACGGGATGTATGTAGTATGTGCACTATGTGTATACAGTGTCCATGGAGGCCAGAAGACATTCGATCTCCTGGAACTGGAGTTACAGACAATCGTGAACTTTCATGTCTGTGCTGAGGATCAAACCTGAGTTCTCTGCAAGAGCAAAAAAATGCTTCTAAGTGCTGAGTTATCTCTCCAGCCCTAGATAGGTGCATTCATAGAAATGCAGATGCTTTTAGTAATTTGAATATATTCAAATTGAAGGATGTTTTTCATTCACCCGTTTACCTCATATCATAGCTCAGCAGCATAGTGCACCCCAGATCTGGCTTCCTCTCATGGTCATGTGACTGATGGAGCCCTATGGCCTCCTGCTCCTCTCCAGCATCACAAACAAATATAGTACATCACATATCTGGACCCAGAAAAGATCAAAGTGGAAAATTCAACTGTGTTCAACTGCTTTCTACTGCTGTGATAAGCATCATAACCAAAAGCAAAGTGGGGAAGAAAGGGTTTATTTCAGTTTTCAGGTGCCGGTCAGTCTACAATCAGGGAAACCAAGGCAGGGACTCAAGGCAAGAGATTATAGCAGTAACCATGGAGAAATGCTGCTTACTGGCTTGCTCTTAGGCTCACATTCAGCTACCTTTTCTCTTTCAGTTAAAGCCAAACTGCTGAAGGATGGCACCATCCACGGGTGGACCTTCCTGTGTAAATTAGTAATTAAGAAAATGTCCCATAGACTTGCCCACAGACTAATGGGATGGAAGCAATTCCTCATGTGATGTTCCATTTTCCCAGCTATAACAAGTTAACAACCAATATTAGAAAACAAACCAGTTTGTCCCAAAGAACTATAGTTTTGAACCATGAATTTAAAATCATTATAACTAGGCTCAAACATACCTTCACTAAGTAAAAAGATGAACCATTGTAGTCAGCACATTTTTGCCAATGAGAAATGAATTTTCTTGTTTCTTGACATGGAAATCCATGCTTCAGGATTTGATGGACTCTTGGAAAGCACTTCTTCATCCTGTTGATTGTGGAAGTGTTTTTCTTGCAAAAGTTGCTGAAATGCTTGAAGAAATAGCAGCTGGTTGGCAAGAGGTCAGGTGAATATCACAGATGAGGCAGAACTTGATAGGGCAATTTGTTGAACTTTGGAAATGTTGACTGTGCAATGTGCAGTCAAGCATGGTTTTGAATTGTGCCCTTTCTGATGAGATATGGTGGCTGCAAACATTGCTGATCTTGGCGCCCGTCATCAGTTTGTTGAGCATACTTCTCATAGGTAACAATTTCTCTAGAATTCAAAAGTTTTAGTGGATGAAACTGGAGAAGACTACCAGTGACCCTAACATTTTTTTGGTGCCATTTGGCTTTGGAAAGTGCTTTGGTGCTCTTCACAAAGCATCATCGCTGGTTGTTGTATGCAATCCTCTTTTGGTCCCACATCACAGTCTGATTGAGAAATGGGTTTTTGTTGTTGTGTAGAATCGTGTAAGATGACAGTTCAAGGGGACTTTTAAATTACTACACATCTATTTATTGAGCTCTTCTGCCTTTCCAATTTGATCAAATGTTGAGGGAACACTGAATTAGATCCACTTTGCATTCTTTGTTAACTTCCCATGTACTTGTAAGAGCAGCCTAGATGCTTGCTGTCAGCTGGTTATCACCAACTCCTGATGGCTCTTCACTAAGCTCCTCATCCTCAAGGCTCGTCTTTTCTTGCAAAACTTCGCGTACCACTGTGCTAGCAGTTCCTGTGCCAAATGCATTGCTTACATTGCAAATGTAAGTTGTCATCATGGCTTTATGGCCCATTTTGAATATGAAAAAAAAATCACCTGCATTTCCTTTTTGTCTAATATTATTTCCAAACTATAAAATAGACAGGGAATAAGGATCATTAGAAGAAAAAGTAAAGTAGGAAGTGCACATTAAATGATATAGAACATAGTAGATAACATTTTAGCAATATAAAAGCTTCAATTAGTTTCTTACCAACCTATATTACTGCTTTCCCTTAATGTCTATCACATTACCACTATCATAAAGTCAAAACTCTGTCAGGCTGGCAGCTTAGTATGTCTGTCTCTAGATCACACATACATATATATGTGTACATATAAATAGATCTATAGGTACATATGTGAACATTCTATTTAACCAAGTAAGTAAATTAAAACCTTAAGCAAGCACATCTTTTTCATATTTTCTTTGTAAATTCCCTACCACATGTGATTCTGTGTCTAACACAAAGAGAAAAAAAGAAAGCTTCAGTGTTCTCCATAACAGTCTGGTTGTCAGTGTCTCAATTATCACTTCTGGCAGAGCTGAGTATAATATTCAAAGTTAGTAGTTACGAATTAAGTGCATGATGCTTTATTTAAGTATGACAACTTCAAGTTTGTTTGTCTTTAAGGGACATGATTTCTTACTTGAAAAAAAAAGAAAACAAAAGAAAAGAAAAGCAGTATTACCATATTGCAGAATTCTCACATCCAATGAAAAGAAGTGAACATGTTAGTCATTGTCTTATCAAAATTAAACTCAGAATATGTGGATATGTATACTGTCAATTTTTTGTTTCCTTGTGTTTTTTACCAAGACTAGTATTTTGAACTTGAGATTGAGGTAAAAGGATATTGGGGACATGTTTTGGCTTCTACATCTAGAAAGATTAATTTTTCTAAGGAAATGAAAATAAAGCTAAATCTCATTTAATTTAGTGTCATTATAACTTACCAGGAAATCAATATTAAGAACTCATCTTCAAGAGTTGAATTTGGTAAAATTTCTTCAAAAAATATTCATTGGTTTATAATCAATGTTTTTTAGAATTATCTCTACTCTTCTCCACCAAAAACCACCAAGGAAGCCCACTTTCATTTTGATAAATCACTGCTATTCATCCAAACGTAGTGAATTCTGAGCTTGTATGTTAGACATCACTTTAGATAAGAGAGCAACATATTACCATAGCCAACCCACTTGTTTACATATCCCAATCTTTAACGACACCATATGATAACAAAAAAAGGACAGAATGAAAATAAAAATTACATAGGAATGCCAACATGACTGCTTCTATATTTCTAACACTTGAAAAAATGAATAAAGAATTATAAACTCATTGAGAGTAGCTATGACTGAGAGATCACATTTCACAGAATTTATATTTGGATTTCTTCCCTGGCCACATCAGTCTCCCCACAATAGTTGTCTGTTTTCTTCCCATAGCAAGGTATTTCCCAAAGGCCTTCCTGAGGAGTACTCTGTAGCGGTCACATTTCGAGTACGAAGAAGCACCAAGAAGGAGCGGTGGTTTTTATGGCAGATTTTAAACCAGGAGAATATGCCACAGGTGAGATGACAATTCGTTTGATTAGGTTCTTGTGCTGTGTACTCAAATCTGGGAATAGATGTAGTTAGTACTCAAATCCTGTGTTGTTTAGAGGAATCATCCATAGAGAAATGCAAGCATTATAAGTAGGATAGCCTTGATCATATCAGTGATGTGAGAATCTAGTGGATGAGAGGTTTGTGTTTTGTTTTGTCTTAAAGATTTATTTATTTTTATTTTTATGTACATAAATGTTTTCCTGTATGTATGTATGTACATATACCATGTGCTTACCTGATGAGCAGAGGGGTCACAAGAGAGCTCAGGATCACCAGGAACTGGAGTTATAAACAATTTTGTGCCACCAAGTGGGTGTTGAGAATTGAATCCAGGATTCTGCAAGAGCAGCTGGTGCTCTGAACCACTGAGCCACACCTCCAACCCTGTTTTTATTTTAACTTAAGGATTCATATTTTATCTGAAGACCACGGAACCGCTTTCCTTTAACAGGTGCTTATTGGCTTTGCCCCATTATTAACTACACTTCCTCTCATCACTAATACCATATACTAGTCTGATACTTAAATATTTGTTTTATCAATAAAAGCAAATATGGGCCTCATGCTTTATGCCAAGAAGTGATAAGAAGAAGACATTTGGGGCTGGGGAGATAGCTCGTTGGAGAAAGCGGTTGTCATGCAAAAATGAGGACTAGAGTTCAGATCTCCAGCACCCACATAAACGGCAGATGGAGGTGGGGGTTCACCTGTAAGTTCAGCATTCACCAGGTGGGAGATGGGATACCCAGAGCAAGTTAGCTAGCAAGACTAGTCAAGTCAGTGAGTGCTGGGTTCAAGGGAGAGGCCTGGCCTCAATATAGAAAGTGGAGAGCACTTGAAAAAGACACCTAGTGTCAGCTTCTGTCTTCCATTGTGCACATGTGTGCATCATACTTGCACACACACACACACACACACACACACACACACACACACACACACACGCGCGCGCACACACACATGCACACACTTCACATATAGGAACACATATACCCAAGCATACCACACACACCCACACCCATGCCAAAAGAAAATAAGAGATTTTAAAAAGCAGAATTCATGTTCTTATGGAGCAGAAAGTCTATAATAGGAGAACATTTATGAGAACTTATATGGCAGTTCTAATACTGAGGAAAGTGTGATGGGAGGTGTCTGAGCATAGGAAGGAGAGTGGAGAAGCCGGCAGATCTTGTGGAAATGGCAGTAGAGCTGGAGTGGTGATGCAAGCACCCCACAGACCTCAGAATTACTTGTTAACATCACACCTTTGGTTTACATCTATACATCACCATGGAATGCCTTTAGCTTTGGTTCACATCTACACATCACCATTGAATGCCTTTAGCTTTAGTTCACATCTACACATCACCATTGAATGCCTTTAGCTTTGGTTGGTCTTCTCACTGTTAATAAAGGTCACGATTTTATGATGGGATGATCATTTGAACTGAAAGAGCATGTCATCTATACAATATCTTCTCTTTGCCATGAAAATTATTAAGGGTTTAAAGGGTCCCTATCAGTTTCCACATAAAAAGAAATGCATATATTGTTTTTCTTCTTAAGTTAGAAACTCCATTGTCTATATACTCATATAGAACACCAACATATATAAGTATTTTTAGGTATGTGATTAGTGTTATCCACAGTATAATTTAAAACCATAACTTTTGTACTTCATAAAATTACACCTTTATGAATACATAACACAATTATATAGTTATGATTGCATTTATAAATGTAAAATACATTTACATTTGTGTACACATACACCCCTTATATGTTCTTTTGTGAAGGAGCAGATTACACAGGATGCTTCACACTAACACACTTGAACAAGGTCCTTGATCTTCTGTATCCACCAGTGCAGTGGGCAGAGGTACTGTCTCACGCTTAGCCAGCTCCTCGGTTATGCAGTTGTACACATGGAGCTTTTATTTGAGTGCTTTACTAATTCTGAACATTTAGTTTTAAGCCATCTAAAGATACTCTGCTTATCTTTCTTATTTTTTTTCAGATTTCTATAGCGATTGACGGCACAAAGAAGGTGGTAGAATTTATGTTCCGAGGTGCTGAGGGAGATCTGTTGAACTATGTTTTTAAGAATCGAGAACTCCGTCCTCTCTTCGATCGTCAGTGGCATAAACTTGGCATTGGTGTGCAATCCCGAGTCCTTTCTCTCTACATGGATTGTAATTTAATTGCAAGTCGGCACACAGAAGAAAAGGACTCTGTGGATTTTCATGGAAAGACCGTTATTGCTGCGCGAGCCTCAGATGGCAAACCCGTGGATGTAAGTTGTAACAGTGATGCTAACAGGGAGCTTCAACATCCCAAAGTTAAAGCAAAATCTCTTATTAAGAGTGGCTTCCTGGGGCCGGGCATGTGGCTCCTTAGGCAGAGAGCTTGCATAGACTGCATGGCACATGGGGTTTGATCTCCAGCACTACATAAATTAGTCATGGTGGTTCATGCTGTGTGCAGCCAACCCTAGAACTAGAAAGGTATAGGCAAGAGGATTAGCAGTTCAGTTCAGGATCATTCTTAGCCACGTTGTGAGTATAATGTCAGCTGTGCTACATAAGACCTAGTAGAAGGAAGGAAGGAAGGAAGGAAGGAAGGAAGGAAGGAAGGAAAGGAGGGAGGGAGGGAGGAAAGAAGGAAGGAAGGAAGGAAGGAAGAAAGGAAGAGAAAGAGGGAGAGAGAGAGAAAGAGAGAGAGAGAGATAGACAGGAGGAGGAAGGAACAAAGGAACTCATTTCTTCCTTTAATGATTACACACACAAAAGACCTCTCTCTCATCAGTGTTTATAATGTCACTAGATATATGAAGACTATTTATTTCCAACTCTATTTTCACACATAATTATATTACATTTTCAACTGCATTTTCCAGTCAGCAAATTTAAAATAATTGGATCGTGCCTTTAAAAACTAAGAATATTAAGAGTAACTTTTAGTAAAACAATGAAAACAGGACACAAAGAAAGTATAAACTTGGCCAAACCTTTATGTTTTAAATGAAAAGATTAGAAAAAGACAAACTTTAAGTGGTTCCAGACTATCTGATGTTTTCACTCAAGAACAATAGGCAATTCATTCAAGCAATTCTACTGCGTCTTCCACAACTCATACTGTCTTTTTAGAGTTCCTTTGGACAGAAATACAGTTAGTAAATCTAACAGTGGGTGATTTGGATGAGGAGACAGCTAGAAAAACTCAGATGAAAGGTCCTTTAAAAATTACATTTTGAAGCTAAAATGATATAGATTTACTATTGATTTTCTTGCAAAATAAGTCCTGTAATCTTTAAGGAGTAAGATTGGACTAAATTTAATAGGAAATATTTTCTTATAGGTAAAATGATAAGAAAGTCTCCAAAAATCTGAATTTGTAGTGCCAAAGCTGTAAACACGAAGTGCTGACAGTGAAACTGCATTTCAGAAATAAAGTTTTGAGCAAATATGCGTTTGGGAGTGTATCATTTCTATAGATCTCTTTGGAAGAAAAAAATGTATAGATGCAGATACATATTCAAGGAAAGATGATTTTTAAAGCGTTTTTCTCCTAGAGATTGTGTGTAAGCAGACCAGAAAGACAAGACTGTCAGGACTTGTGGTCAGGGATGATCAGGAATATGGGCAGAGCAGAACAGCCTGTCCTGGGGACATGTCAGGTCCACAGGAGACCTTGCTGGCTTGAGTCAGAATCCTAGCTTGGATCTGTTTATTTTTCAGGATCTTCATTTGCAAAATAGATTTAGTGAAGTTGTTTGTTGTATTAGTGTAGGATTTGTGCCATGGTTCCTTATTCATAATCTGTTCTCTATAGATTAGAACATGGAAGAAAACAGCCTCCCACTCTCACACACACACACAAACAACAAAACAAAGCCAACCAAACAACTCAAAAAACCCTACTGTTCTTTGCTCTCCACACCTCCAAGCTAGCAGTAGGACTAAAATCTATCAGTAAATGGTGGCTGTTACTACTAATATGTCATAATCACTGTACAGTGGTACTAGCTGGGTCTTTAAGAAAGTTTCCATGAAGGAGGAATCAGAGACCATCAGACAGTCAGTCCATCAGCACTGTGACTCATCCTTATAATCTACAGACTAGGGGTTCTTGCAATAGTACTGGAGAATGACATCAGCATTGCATACATTTATTTTAAGATACAGCATACATATTTTAGCTGGATACGAATACTTTTATTTTCTTTTACAGTTAAAAAATATGTTAAGAGATATTAATACTTAACAAATATGCATGTTACTGCCCATTTAATCACTTGAAAACATGTTCATTTCAAATGCAGTGCTCATTAGATTTAGCTATATTATGTGTATGAGTGTTTTGCTTGCACATACATATATGCACCATATCCATGCCTGGTGGCTTGGACAGTCTACAGGAGGCATCAAATACCCTGGAACTGCAGGTAAAGTTGATTATAAGCTGCCATATGGGTGTTGGAAACAACCTGTGTCTTCTAAAAGGTCATAAAGTGCTCTCTTAACTGTTGAGATACCTCATTCAACCCCCAAAGTATAGTCTAATTTTTCTCTTTCTGATGGGTGAATTTGATATTTATTGTCTTTTGTTCAGGTACCTATTGTATTCCTAGTAACAGCCACACTAAAACTTTAGCATCTATTTTTTAAGCAGCCTTTGAGAGTTTCATACAATGTATTTTGATCTTGTTGACCACATTCCTCTATATCCACTTTTCCACTCCATCACATCCTCTTCTAATTTCATGACTTTTTTTTTTTAACCCACTGTATCCATCTGGTGCTGCCAGTGCATACATGATGTAAAGATGGGTGTAAAGCCATCTACTGAAGCATGGGTGGCCTCTCAGGAACCAGATCCCTGAAGAAAACTAGTGCCCCTTCCTCTAGTACCATCAATGGCCAATAGTTCCTCACACTGTGGTGATGCTTCACCGGGAGTTAGAGTCCCCATGAGCTCATGTGTGCAGAGGCCCCACCATGTCTAGGAAACACGTCACAGAACTCCTCCCCACCTCTGGTTCTTAAAATCTTTCTGCCACTTCTTTCATGACCATCCCTGAGCCTTGGGAGAAGTTCTGTTTAAGTGTCACATTTAGGGAACTCTCCACAGTTAGTTACTTATTCTCTGCATTTTGTCCTGTCATGATCCTCTTATGAGCCACTATCTGCTGCAAAAGGTAGCTGCTTTGGTGAGGGTTGAGAGCTGTACTCACCTGTGAATACAAGTATAAGTATTTGGAATTAAATTTTAACCCTTTAAAATTGATGATCTATCTTTAGATAAGTAAAATAACACATATGCAGTGCTGGGTACAGTGTGGCACATGATTGGATTTCAATCCCTGGTTCATATGGGTGATGTGTCATGTGTGGTGTATTCATATGTAGTAAAAGCACATGAGAGTGCAGAGGGGTTTACTGTACAGGTACATGTGAGGGCAGAGCAGGATATTAAGTGTATGGGATTCTCTCCCTATCATTCTCTGCTCTGAGACAAGATATCTTGGTGAACTAGATGCTTCATTTTTCAGGTAGACTTGCTGGGCAGCAAATACTCAGGATCATTTATCTCAACCTCTGACAGTAGGACTGTATAAAGACAAGCAAAACAATGTCCGATTTTTTTTCACACAGGAGCTGGGAATTCAAACTCAGCAGGTGCTCTTACCACAGAGCTCTCCTACCAGCCCCCACTTACCCGTTATTTTGATAACAATGATTAGAATAAAGTTCAGTTATAAGCAACATTAGCTCATTATAATCTTCATTCTTTACTTTGCATAATTTGTATGCTATCACCAATATTTCATTAGATTAAGTATTGTACTTAAACTTTTCAAATGAAAATTCATCTCAATAACCTTGTAAAATGCTGCTTAAATATTAATTGCCAAATCTCATCTATGTACATTTTTGTGTTACCCACAGACCTAAGGCTACTCATGAATCCACAAGTTTTCGGGAATACCCGATGCTTTCCATGAGCCAATCAATTTTGTTCATCTCAGTATAGTGAACATTCTAACAACCCTCCTGATTTTGGTTGTGTGTGTAGGATGGGGACAAGTTAGAGATTCACAGATAGCCAGATGTCTATTTTCTATGACCACAGATAAACTCTGACAATGTCATAATTTGGGTTTTCTATACAAAATGCTTATTTATCAACCTCAAAGTAACTTCAAATTAATTTCAAAGTAATGCACAACCAAGATCTGTTACACTGGCAATAAAGAACCATAGAGAAGGGGACAGGATAAAGGAGTGAAGGAAGTGGGGAGATGATAAATCTGATTCTGCTATGTATTCTTATTTGTTAATTATGTCTGTAAATTCACAACCATATGCTAATTTCACGGCTCCAGTCAATGCCTGCTGTTATGCAGTATTATTTGATATTTCAGTGGGCTAAAAGTTAAAGAAGTTGATTTAAGCATTTATCATATTGATATTTTATCAACAGTAATACTGTTTTACCATTTCCTAGACAATTGTTCTGATCTCTCCATTAAAGGTATGGCTATCTTTCCCATGAAGTGTAGTGAACATTCTAACAGCCCTCCTGATTTTGGTTGTGTGTATAGGATGGGGGCAAGTTTGAGATTCACAGATAGTCAGATGGTTGTTTTCTGTGACCACTTTTCATCTCTTGTCTAAATGCCAAAAAAAGTGAATCTTTTCCAAATAGAAGAAACTTTCAAAAAAAGACTGTGAATCTTTTGTTTAGAACTATTTACACAGGATTGCTCTGGGTAGTCCAGACTGGTCTGGAACACCACATATAACTCAAGTTAGCCACAAGAAAACACTCCTCTTGCACCAATGTTAGTATTGCAGGCAGGTGCTACTGGGTTCAGCTTTTGAGTCTTGCTCAGGACTGCACTAATATACAATCAATAGGCTTTATGCAGACTTCATTAAACATGGGTAAAAGCTAAATATCCTCTTTTTACTTCATTGGGTACAGAACATTTACTTCATAGTTCAAACAGGACATTTGGACCTAAAGAGAAAGCCTTTTCCATCTCGTATTCACACCTTTGAGCATGTTCCTGCAAAGTTTTACTTTTAAATGTCACTTTGTACAGCAGTATATTGTAGCACATAGCAATACATCTCTAATTAAATATTTGTCTTTATTGCCTCCTTAATTCAACATTTCGTTTTTATTGCTTGAGACAATTAGCTAAGCTTTGCAATTGTTTTCATTAGCTCATTTCCTGTCTAAAGATCTTCCTGTGTAGCTGACTGGTTCTCAAATGACCCTCAGTCATGAATCATAAATTAAAATTAAACACTATAAATATGTATCTGTCACTTATATTAACTTCCCTTGTCTTTCTATTTAAATTGCACTAGTTCATAAGGCCTAAGCTCAATTCTCAAAACCAATGATGTGCTTTACTACTGACTCTTCACAGATTGAACTTCACCAACTCATAATCTCTTGCAATGCAAACTTCTTAGCTGAAGAATCATGTTGTGACGTATCCGCTACGAAGGTAGGCTAATTTTCTTACTATGTGAAACACAAATAATTGCTAGTTATCATTTAATTCATGTTCTGTAGATTCTATGTGCAGGGCGCTATGAAGTTCTCAGCTGAATCTGGATGAATGATTTATCCCCAGTAGGGAGCCCTTCTAAGTACATGCCCAAACTTCAACCACCAGGTTGTACACTGAAGTTATTTGACAATAACTTATTCTCATTTTGGACTCAACATAACTCAAAGAGGACTTACATCTTCCCTGTATACCTTTCACCCTTGTTTCATCTGAGGCCCCACTGATTGGAGGTGCTGCCCACATTAAAGTCAGGTCTTTCATCCTTAACTGGCCCCATGCCTTAAGACCATTCAACTTGTCTGTTTTGTCTAGTTTTGCTTTGTAACACATTTCATTCCTTTCTTCTTTTCCCTGTCCTTGCCAAATCCACTTTTGCCTTATATGATGGGGGAATGTCTTTTTGTGTGCTGTGAAAAAAATGTTGCTCTGATTGGTTGATAAATAAAGCTGTTTGGCCAATGGTGAGGCAGAATAGGGTTAGGCGGGACATTCTAACTAGAGAGGAGGAAGTTGAAAGGCAGAACAGAGAAGACGCTGCCAGCCACTGCCATGAAAAACAAGATGTAAAGATACTAGTAAGCCACGAGCCATGTGGCGAAGTATAGATTTATAGAAATGGGTTCATTTAAGATGTAAGATCTAGCTAGTGAGAAGCCTGAGCCAATAGGCCATGCAGTTTGTAATTAATACAAGTTTCTGTGGGTCTGAGCAGCTGAGGACCGGGTGGGACGCAGGAAAATTTCTAGCTATACTTATACCTAGCTTTCACAGCATCATGTGAGCTGCTTTTCTAACACACACTCTTTTCCTTGACATTATCACCAGAATGAGTCCCTAAATCACTGCATTATATGTTTACTTCTTTTCTTACAGTGAATATTTCTTATTAACCATTGATCTAATAGACACTGCACTAAGGAAAAACACTGACTGACGTGAAGAGTGACCTTATCTGGTCATCTTTTTCTCAAAGTCCTAAGTGATTCCTTATTGGCAACAGAATATCAAACCAGTGGATTAGTCTTCCAAGTTAAATATTCTTGACCTTGCTGTATAGCCATCACTCCCACATCCATGTACTTCATTCCAAGAAAAATAAATTCAGTGCTTTCCATGTCTCACTGTAATAGTCGCCCATACCATCACATATTATAGATATAACGATATTTGTTTTTAATTGATTGAAGTACAAATTGGACAGCAATGGAGAATTTGCTTTCAAATTCTTTTACATCTAGCACATTGTTAGCAAAAGATTGTCAAAGCATATATTAGTTTGTTTTATTCTGCTCTGATAAAATACCACCACCACAGGTAACTTGTGGAAGAAAGAGGGTTTATTAGCTTATGGTTCCAAAGGAAGAGTCCATCATGGTGGTGGGGGAGGGTAGGCCTGGAAGCAAGCAGCTAGAGCAGGAAGCTGAGAGATCACATCTTCAGCCTCAAACACAAAGCAGAGAGAAGGAACAGGAAGTAAGGCAAGGCTATGAACTCTCAAAGCCCTCGACAGTGACATATTTCCTCCAGCAAGGCAGCAGCACCACCTCCTCAAACAGCATCACATCCTGGGGACCAAGTGTTGAACTATCTGAGCCCTTGGGGAACATTTCTGCTTCAAATCACCACACAGCAGAAACTCTTAATTTGCTGGTTTGTCACCCACAAAGTGAAAGACTGTGAGAAGGGAATAATTCTAAAACACTCACCAAGAGAACATAGGAAAAACAAAAGTCCAAGATTCAAAGTTCTGTTTCTTTGAATATTAAATTCCCTCAAATTTCTACACTTGCTAGAAAGTCCATATTAAATTTTAATCAGTAATTTTTAATTCAAAAACTCTTGTAACTTCTCTGATGCAGTTTAAGTAGTAGAATGAAAATCTAGCCAAATAACTCCAAGTCTTTCAAATATTATGTCTTGCTTATATAACTTGGCTGTACAAAGCACATCTCAAACCCAGTTTATAGATCTCATTCCAAGCGAAGTGAAAGTCTGCCAAATATCTTTCTATAAATACCTAAAAAGATAGCTTGAATGCCAATCTACAGACTTGAAATACCAAGGCTGCCTGAACCTATACCTTTAATCATGAAGGTTTTCTTATTCCAAAGTGGTTATGATTGTATTATATTAGGGTTCTTAAAATAACCATTTTCTTCCATTTAAAAGTAATGTTTTGATGTCTTGATATCTGTAAATGTTATATTCTTGACCAATATTCATTGCCTTATGTTAATATATTACTATAAAAATGGCTTACATACATATAGACAAAGAATTGGGTAAAGTAACTTAGTAATGAAAGTCAGATATGACTTCCCAATTGTTAACATTTTTGGTTAATTTCACATTGCTAACCTTAAAATTTAATTAAAAAAGTAGTGTTTATTAGGATAATTTGGAAATTAGTTTTATAGTTGAAAATAAGTTAGGAATCCAAACCCGGTATGTAAAAATAACCAAACCCAGTGTTTTTCAGGTTGATGAAATTATTTGTGGTGATGACTTCACCATCCACGCTATAACTAAAAGTAAACAGAAATCTGACACATTTCATGAACACTTAAATGAGATAATCATACAAAAGCCATTCAAACACAGTTGGGGAACTTCTGCTACCAGCTGTCTTCTTGGCTTTTTATTTTTGAAAAATGTTTAAAGGGGGCTAGAGAAATGGCTAAGAGTGCTGGCTGTACAACCTTGTGACCTGAGTTCAGAACCCACCACTAGAGCAAATGTCACATGACTGACAATGTAAGGGAAAAAAAAAACTACTCAGAAAATAATAAATTATCTGGAACGAATAAACTGTCTGATCGGCATTTGTGTTTCATCTGCATATAATTTTTAGGATTTTGGATCTGAAAATTTGTTAGGATACCCAATGATCACCAAATCTAGAGGCAATGAGCATGAAATCACTAGTACTAAATACAAGACTCTGGTCCCAGTGTATCAGGTGCTGTTCATTACAGGTTTTATTGTTATCAAAAGTATTAGAGTACCATCTATTAAAGAACAACTTGTGAATTCTTATTTTAGAAAGTAAAATGCAAGAAGTAAATAAATAATCAGATACAAGAGTGAAAATAGATATCCACCATGGTCTCACACCACAGAAGAAAACCACTGAGAGAATCTTTTATATTCATAATTTGGAAATGTTTTTCCATGTATGTATAACTTGTAGTATATAAAGCAACTGGTGAGTTCCTCCACCTGTTGTTTACCCTTCACTGAAGTGGCAAATAAAGAGTTAATCCCAGGACCCGTGTGGTATCAGATGTCAAGAGGAGTCACTCTCTTTAGAATCACCTCGTGATACATTATGAAGTATTTATTTTAGTTAGGTATGTGTATTTGATATGCATGCATGTGTATGTGGGGGTGTGTGGACATCTGATGTGGGTGCAGGCACAGAAGAGCAGAAGTGAGCATCAGAGGCTAGAGTAGCAGCTGGGTTAAGTCCCCAGATGTAGGTGCTTAGACCTGAACTTGGGTTCTCTGCAAAAGCAGTCTTGGCTCTTAAATGCTGTATCTCCTGAACTAAATTGAGGTGAGGGGGCAGGTGGTGGAGATTCTGTGTCTTTATAACTAAACCTTACTTCATGTTGTTCAGCATGTTATAAACTTGCCAGATTCAGCTTCTTCCACTTTTACATCTTTAAAGGACACTGGAGTAGAATAGGGTATACATTGATTAAATAATAATAATAATAATAATAATAATAATAATAATAATAATAATTATAATCTTAGATGCTGTGGAATAATCCTTTTCTACACTATGAATATGCATTATTCTCATTGGTTAAAAAAAAACTAACAGGCTGGTAGCTGGGCAGGAAGTCAGTCAGGAAAGCCAAACTGAGAATGCTGGGAAGAAGAAGGTCCAAGTCAGGAGTCACCAGCCAGATGCAGAGGAAGCAAGAATGTTGTACTGGGAAAAGGTACCAAGCCACATGGCTAAACATAGATAAGAATTATGGGTTAATGTAAGTGTAAGAGCTAGTTAGTAATAAGCCTGAGCTACTGGTCAAGCATTTATAAGTAATATTAAGCGTCTGAGTGGCTATTTGGGAAGTGGCAGGTGGGAGAGAACCATCTGTTTACAATTAGAGTATAAAAAGAAATCATTCCCAGCTTTACTTATAGTTGTAACCAGCTTGTTGTAGTACCTATTTTTACCAATTAAATGTATATGCTTTTAAACTTTTGTTTGCTAGATACTAATCACATTTTGCTTGTGTAAAGTCTTTTACATAATTATTGTAAATGTACAATATTACTATATTTACCATAAGGTCACCTAATTTAACTAAAATTTTTCGCTAAAATAACCAGTTTTTATATATTCTTTGTGTATTGCCAATGTGGTTAAATATACTAGAGATTTAGTGATAGAGCAAAAGTGTGATAATTTTTCGTACATGGATGACAATGCTTGGATAATAAGAAGGAAGTATGGCAACCAGCTATCTCTGGTTTGATTGGAGCTAGCATCAAGAACTGACATCATTCTCTAAATTCTCTTTGGGGATTTTAGTGTCCTGAGCAAGACAGCTTTGGAAGTACCACTTCATCATGGGTGACCACTCACACTGGTAAAATATCTTCATATCTGCCAGGAAAGCAGGAACTTAAAGACCCATGCCAGTGTATTCCAAACAAGGTATGCAAGCCTTTGTATGTACATAATGAAAGGTCACTACTCACAGTGGTCTAAGCTCCTTGGCTGAGGCCTGTGGTCCACAGAAGGTGCCTTTTCCTCAGTGCTGGTAAAAATTAAATCTCAAGAACAATACAGCCACCAAAGTAGGTCAGAAAAAGAAAATTAAAGATTAATTTCTTGGATTTTTGCTTACTTTTTTGAGATACTATTATTATTATGTGTTTTTTTTATATCAGACCACAATTTCCCTTCCCTCCTCTCCTCCTTCCCTCAGCCTCATATCCCATTTGCTCTCTCCCATCCACTCCTCAGTTTCTCTTCAGAAAGGGGCAGGCCTCCCATGGATATCAAGTAAACATGGCACATAAAGATGCAGTGGGACTAGGCATCTCCCCACCTCATTTTAAGGCTGGACAAGGCAACCCAGAGTGAGGGAAAGGGTCCCAAGAGCAGGCAAAGAGTCAGAGATGGCCCCTACTCCCACTGTTAGGAGTCCCACAAGAAGACCAAGCTACACAACTGTCACATATATGTAAAGGGCCTAGGTCAGACCCATGCAAGCTTCCTGGTTGTTGGTTCAGTCTCTGTGAGCCCCTATGAGCCCAGGTTAGTTGATTCTGTGGATTTTCTTGTGGTGTCCTTGACCCCTCTGGCTCATAGAACTCCCCCCCCCAACCAAGGTTCCCCTAGCTCTGCCTAATGTTCGGCTGTGGGTCTCTTTTGCTTTCCTTTCAATGTATGAACGTTACAATTAATAGAAAAAATTGGGGAGAAAAACCACTGTATGACAGAGAAATGTGAAGTATATAACAAATGCTAGAAGCAGGCTGCCGTTCAGGAAGTCCTGAGTACACAGCACATGCTAGGAACAGGCTACAGTTTGGGAATTTGGTGCTGGAGGAAAAGTGCCTGGTCTTCAACAAACATGTAGAAAAACACTCTGCATAGTTCTTCCCCTTTTCTGACTGATGACTATAATTGTGCAGCATCTGCAAATATCCAACCAGCTGCCTCTTTTCTATTAATTGATTGTCTCTGTGGGGCATATTTAATTTATTAGCTTCATATAAACCTATATGATTCTTTGATCTGTGATGCTGGGCCCATAGACCTCCATAAATATTCTTTTTATGTTCATAGAAGCCATTAGGTCTGTTCTAAAAACAGGCAATTAGAGAAATAAACAATGGCAGGTAAATAAGATAAGTGATAGGTAGGTTGGTAGGTAGGTATGTAGGTAGACTATATAGATGATAGATAGATGGATAATAGATAGATAGATAGACAGACAGACAGATAGGTGATAGAGAGACAGACAAGCAGGCAGATTTGGCTTTAGAGCAATGGAACAGAATGATTTTGACACAGGCATTCTTTTTTTTCCCCCTCAGGAGGAAGCAGGATCACCAGGAACTCTGGGTTCCATTGGTCATAAGGGGGACAAAGGAGAACCGGTAATGTGCACACAACTAACACTCTTGGGATAAAGGGGTTTATTCAAAAGTGATTTAAAAAGATTTTTCCACCCTATATTTCCCATAAATATATTTCAAAAAGGCTTCCAAAAATTCAACTGAGATGAATATCTTTGTAAACTAGAGTCCTGTCAGCATTTCAGTCTGCTTCTGAGATCATGATATTAGGGAATTCTGAGAAATCTAGAACAGCAAGTCTTCGTACCTCTAAACAACACTGTGAAGCAGGCGTATGTCCCAGCTGCTTGCTAGCCTTCCTTATTACTCTTTTCTCCAGATACCTAAGGAACGTATCCTCCTTGTCCACTGACACGTTCCCACTGAGCAGGTTCCAATGGCTAATCTTCATTTAGCATCTGTGGGAAGCATATTGCTGCATGTTCTAGGGAAAATAAAGAATAGGGTAAATTACTTCCTGAGACGCCACTCCTAGAAGGGGATAGAGAATATCCATCTTAGATGCTATATGAGAATTTCAAGAGTCCTTAGAAAACTACCCAGAGAGACTGGGAAGAACTGAATGCGGGATATGCTGCATGCTCTTGACCTCTCTATGCAATCAATCATAGGCAATAACCCATGCATCAAGATTAGTCTTTCCTTTGACAAGTTCAAACTTAGCTGTAGTGCTTTCTGGTCTTTTGAATGTGTCTTTTAGCTGATCATATAAATTAATTTGTACTATGGTCAGGGGACTGTGCTTTTCAGTCAAAGGAAAAAAGGACTTCAATTCCTCACTTGGAAATTCATGACCCTAAATCATTTACATAATCTAGTTGGGCTTTTTTGAAGGAGATTAATGCCTGAGAGGTCCTCAGAACTTCCACAAAGTAAGTCATTTGTATCTCAGAGAATGTAGGTCCATCACGTCTTCCATAGGAAAGTCTGGCATCACAGCATGTACTGGAGAAGGGCTTTTGAAGTGAAATGGGTATTTTTGACTAATTCAGTTATAAGTCTTGGGGTCCTTTGCTTTTGGTATCATTATATGAAAGTTCAAAATAATTAAACACATAATGTAAAAGCTACTTAAGTCAAATTAAGCATTCAAATCATTACAGACAGTAAATACACATATTTACTCTTCCCCATGTGAAAACACTGAGACCAATGTTTTTGATGCTATCGTATTTGATCCTCAAACAAAATTTCATGTTGGGAATTAGTATTGCCATTTTACAGATGGAAAAACTGAGGATTAGTGAGGCTAAATTATTTCCCAAATAGCATAGGTTGAGGCTGAGAACGGAGCCCAGGTCTGCCGAGTCCATTATCCTTCTCTTGACTAGTATCCGTTTTGAAAGCAGCTCCCTTTTCTAAAATGTACCTCAGGATTATATGTGTTCTGTCATTGAGATATTCTCTACTTTGTACTATTTTACCCTTATAAACTTGTAAAGAGTGTCAGCCTAGTATTGATACCTTCGTCTTACAATTGGGGGGACCATGCTTAGGTAAATGGTGTACAGCGGTTAATGCAATGAAAAGGACTCAGCGTAGAAAGATCCAGGGACCAGTCATAACTCTTCTTCGCTCATCAGTGTGAACTTGGCGAGACCTCCCAGGCTCTTTGTGGTTCATTTCCTTAACAATGAGGCAAATGTTCTGAGAATTGAAAAACAGTTCGTCAAATACTCCCCCAGGTACCTCGAGCCGTTTTCTTTTGCGTCCAGGTTACTTCAGTTGCTTCTAAGAGTCTCATAGGCTCCAGATTCATTCCGCTTCCAGTGGAGCTAAATACAGTCTCAGCTTAGGTTGCTTTCTCCGTAGCCAGTTTCATGCAGCTTAGAGACCCTACTTAGTGGCTAGCATCGCCCTGGTATTTATAGAAACACTCAGTCTTTGACCACATTCTCTCGCCGGGGTCTGTGTCGATCGATGGTGGTGCCAACCTGGCTTCTAACTTCACTTTACTTAGCTATGAAAGGGATTTAACACTTATGTGTGGAAAAGAACTACCACCTGCAGGGTGTTTTCTCACTTCTATAATCCAAGGTTTATAATTTATTTTAAATATTCTAATGAGCATGCGCAAAATAAAAATAACAAGGAAGTCGCTGTTATTGTATTTGGTGGTATAGTTGATACATATCTCAAATACTTGGCTCTAATGGAGAAATGTCAGTCTTTCAAATTTCAAAAGTTTTAAATCATACTAGAGTTAAGTATTTCAGATAGAATACTCCTATTGCTTTGTAATGGAAATAACCTATTTGATTTTTGGTGTTTTGGGCTGTGAGTTTAACCTTTAGTGGCTAAGCCATCTCCTCAGTCTTGATTTTTATAAATAAATTTCTGAAGAAAATGATTAGTTCACATATCTTATGTGATTAAATGATTAGCTCACATATCTTCACAGCTATATTTTCCACATTTTCATCAACTGAGCATATGGTATCATCCATGTCACCTAAACAGCACCACTGAGCTTTACTTAGTTACTGCCTCTCAGTATTATTTGAATTTTTTTTCCTGAAAATTAGTTCTTACAAGTACTGTCAAAAACAGAATAAAAAATATGACTTGTTGAAACACCTTGGAGCAAGTAGGTAGGCAACATGCCACAATGCATACACCTCTGGCACATTATTTTTAAAGGGAACATTTTTTATATCTAAGCCAGAAACTGGTTTATGATGATGGAATGAGGCATGGGCTGAACAGTACTAAGTAGAATTTGCATAAAGTTTCATTTATATTTCCATCCGGTATGATATTGTAACAAAATTAAATTATTCATGTGCAAATTCTATTGTTGCAAACTAGACCTGCACTTTGAAGTTTGGTGAAATGACAGCAATAATTATTTTAAGCGAAGACCCTGAACAAAGCAATACTTCACCACGGCAGCATTTTTTCCCCCTTTGGAGACAGAAGCAAATTAATACACTGTGTAGCACTGTTTTGTGAAATGTATTTTTGGAGAATGGAGTCATTTGGACTTAAGGATGAAGAGTCATTGCATTTAATTATATTCTTTTACAAATTACCCTTATCAGCCAGTGCAGCCATCGAGTAGGCATTCCTCACCTTATACACACAGCCTGTCTATCAAATATCACAAAACAGTAACTGTCTGCGTTACGGTGATCCAGTACACCTACCGTTCTGCCTAAGTTTGGTAAACCGACTGCTGTTGGTTCATGGGGGAAGTTCCATTCTATAAGCAAATACCTGGTTACTTTTGGTAAACTTAGATGGATAGGTGAATAAAAGGTGAAAAAAAGGAATGGATTCATTTCCAGAAGAAATTATGCTTGAATGCATAGGATCATATGAATACACATACCCACACACATGCGTGTATCCACACACATGCACTTGCCCCCCCACACACACACACATACAGGCACAACTTTGTCCTTGTTGTTTAAAGTGGGAACATGGTGTGAGGTGAACACTAGGTGAGCGTTCTCCAAATCCAGCTCTGGAGACACACTTACTTTTACTGTCTGCATATTTTATACAAAAATGTCCTTTACTTCCTACTTCGCTAATATGCCAGTATAATGCTCATTGTTTGGGGGAGATGTAGAGACTTTTTAAAAATAAAATTATTTTCCAATAGTGTCTATTTTACTTACGTGATAGTTAAAAATATAACCAAAATAGCGCCTAAATGATGTTAAAGTAATATTTGCTTGCTAAGTGATTAACTTTTTCCTAAGGAGGAAACCTTTTTTTTTTTTTCTTTTTTTGAGATAGAGTCTCACCTTGTAGCCCTGACTGGGTTGGAATTCGCTAAGTAGACCAGGTTGGCCTCAAACTCAGAGATCCTCATGCCTCTGTCTGCTGAGTGCTGGGATTAAAAGGTGTGTATCCCCATGCCAAGCAGGAGGAAACAGTTATAAATTAACTTTATTCCTTCTAGAGTATGTAGAGGGTGAATACTAGACATCAGTTATGTACTTGACAATAAGCAAGCAGAGTTACACTACTTGGATTTGGGGCTCTAGTATAAAAATCATTCTCCTTTATCAATCGGAAATTATACTTGGACCCACTCTTGATTTATCTTAGTGACGAAATTAGAAGTTCATGAAAGAGACAGCTTAGTGACTGGCATGAATGTTTGATAACTAGAAGAGACATTTTAAACATACAGCTTGATGATGTTCCTGCTTCAAGCTCTGGCTTAAAATGAGACCAAATTAGAACTCACTCGAGGAAATTTATTTTATTCAAAATTTATTTAGCAGTAATGTTAAAATAAAACTCAAATATCTTCTGTGTCTTTGGCTTCTTTAAAAAAAAAACATGATGGTTCCAAACCAGTGAACTCATTTGAAATAATTACACACAGAGTTACAAACTTGTATCATGTTGATTAAAAACAGCCACTTATGCAATAAATATTATGTACTAAGCAAGAGCCTCCTTTACATGAGCCTCCTTTACATGAGCCTCCTTTACATGAGCTCATTCAATACTTATAGACCTTTTAGCTCAGATTTACTATTAGTTTCTGGATTTAGAATCTAATATAAAAAGAGAATTAAAACTTCCCTAAGTTTCCTAATTTGCAAGGAGTAGAATTAGAAGGTGAAGCTCTGCCCACATGAACCTCCTTTTTCTGGCATCATCTGGATGTTGCCAAAGACCCAGATTTCCTTTCGCACTCAGTTTGAATTAAATCACAAATCCATTTGCCTTGCAGCTTAGGGAGTGGATTGTGAAGTTCGCTCTCTAAATTCTGCTCCAGGGAGTGTTGTGTCCCTCATCTTTACGTCTGTGGATGACTTTAACATTTGATTTTCTAGCTGCAACACCTGCAGAAGATTGTGTCCATCTCCTAAGAATTACTGGAATCCAGTTCATTCACCAAATGAGAGGACTTTATAGTTTTACCTCCAGAAATAAAATTATGAAATTATTGCTCATTTTCCAAATTCAAAATTGGATTTGAAATATTTTCAAAGTGTCCAAAGGTGACTCTGAAGATCTGTAGTCTGTCCTCCATGGGCAGTAGCCCACTCAAG